AGATAATAATAAATTTAGTGAAAATATTTACAAAATACGACGAAATGTTTTGACGACGAAAATAAATCACTTAGTGCCTTAGTAAATAGAGATGAGAATGTAGTCTCTACCCATGAGAGACCACAATATTAAAACTCGAAGAAATAAATATGCTAGATACTGTAGAAGATGATAAGCTAAATACAAAATCTTCTAAAAATGCAGCTAATGAGAAGCAAAAAAGGCATCGAAGCCGAAGTCGAGCTAAAGGACCACGACCTGCAGTGGAAGGCGGACCAGGACCTCAGGAGGAATCGCAGGACGATCCTGAAACTCAAGAGTTGGCCAGGCTGCGGTGTACCAGCGAACGAACGGAATTGGTGGCAGAACGAGAAAATAGACGAAAAACACGATGTGCAGATTATCCCGGGCTTGCTTTTGGACGATCCATCTTCAGTTCCGATACCATGATGAAATTTTCTATTATCAAGAACGAGTTGCATAACATTATGAATGCACAATTGAAACGGGTAAGAGGCGAGCAATCGCATTGTGGGGTATAATAATTTAGTGCTGCCTTCTTTAAAAGTCATAAGTTCTTTATTATGTTAATTGGCGTTTGGGTTTGTAAACAATAATGATTTTATCATTTTTAAATACAAACTTCATTTTCGAAAGTTAAATATAATATTTTGCAAGTGATAATTTAATGTATACAATGATTTGGAAAGTATGTGGCGTATTGTACATAGTCGCGGCGTATCCATTATCAGCTGTTGCGTATGTGCGTCGGTGTAGCACGACGCAAATAACGTTAGAATACTCATACGTCCACCAGTAGGTTCCAATGTAAACAAGTGTCGAAGAACAGAGCAACGCATACGAACACGTGGCGACGTATGACTGGTAGTTCGGCAGTGTGCATTAATTCTATTAACTTCAAATGTAGAGTATGTTTTGTACGTATTCGAAATTTTAGTTGCGTTAGAAAATTTGGGAACCTATTAAAAACTTATGAACATAACTAAATATTAATATTAATTGTTATTTTACAATAGTAAATTAGCGAATTTTTTCGTCTTTATTTTGATGAATGTAATTTATTCGGCGTTATTGTTCATTCATTGTTACTAATTAAACGATTATAAATATTTATAGTTTAATATTAATTTAATGTTTTTTTTCATTTTCTGCACTTTTAAATTAATGTTTTTGCAATGTATATTACCTCGTGCAACATGGAAAGCTTTGCTGATAACATAATAATATTTTTAATCTTTGAAAAATTTTAAACACGGAACAATTTAAAATATTAGCGAATTAGATATTAATTTTGATTTAATATTTTTCATTTGCGTGGTGTATTGGCGTAGAAAACTATTGAATAGAAAATGTAAATGCACTACACGTAACTGCACTAGTTTATCAAGGTACACTTATTTTTTTTAACAAATCAATGTCAATTCTATTTTTGCTATAATAAATAAAGCCCATCCTACGTATATTGTTTCGCGCTGTTTTTTAAATTCAATCGCAGAGACCGGAAGCGTTGCCCTCCACAGGTGGGTCTAGGGAACGCTTTGGACTTCATATTTCGCAATGACCTTACACGTTCGTACGTTTGCAATGTTTATTTAATTTATTAAATGTTGATGGTTTCAATTAAAATTTT